ACAAATGGGTATTGCTACTCTGACTTGTGGATACCCTTGGAAGAGTGCCAACAGATAAGTGATACGATCTTCTTATAATATTATTGCCTAAATATATGAATATCTGCATTATAATATGAGTGTTACGATAGTTCATGAGCATGGAATAATTGTTCTTACATTCCTATTATAGCACATTAGACATATGTGTTTCTTGAGCCTCTTCAGTGTTCTTGAACTTTTGCATGCAAACTTCTTGCACGAAAAGCTTTTTTCAGATGCAAGATTCATTTACCAATTACTTGCGTCATCGCATATTAGTAATGAAGCATGATGCTACAACTCTTACATATAAATGACTTTGTTTACTCTTCACACTTAAATGTTTCGACCGATCCTAAAGTTGATAGCCAAGTCATGTACATTTTTTAAAGTCGATACCCCTCTCGTACTTATAGTTGTCAGTAATATGCTCTGAAGGTCATAGTACATGATGGTTTCTTTTCCTTAAGTCATGAGTCGCAATGGATCGTTATACCTACTCTACCGAACAACTAACTTGAAGTTGCTATCTCGAAGCCAAAAGGACTTTCAAATCTGATGGTCCAGCTCCATGACAAATCGTTATGACTCTTTAAGGGTCCGTAGAGTACAAATTCGTGGAGAAGAGTTGCACGATCTCCGCAGCATTCTTTCGCTAAACAAGGAGTTAACGAAACCATGGCTTCGATAACCTTGCTCACATTATAGTGAGATCTTTCCACTTCTTGCACTTTATGCCTCAAAATGCTTGTTTTTGAAGGGGGTAGAGTCCCTCAATAATATATTGCATTCCATGCCATTTCTCGGGCTATGATAATTAAATACTCACTAATAAGTCTACAAGTGCATGAGTAGGTGTTTTTGTCACGATCAGAGAACCATGTTAGTTTATCATGGTACCTGCACTCGAGAGACGTCACCATCAGAATACTATATCTTCGACAATTATGATGAAAGAATCCAGACGAATTCATCCTCTAAACTAAGGTACGCTCAAACAAGCCTTTAAGTATGCATCCTTGATGAAGGAGAACGACATATTACACTTGAATGATTCCAAGGTTCGGAAGCCTTTTTATGTGCTTATTAGATGAATTTCACACTGCTTACATAAACGTGTTATTATACTTGCAATACATGTCTCGGACTAAGTTGCATGATAAGCATACCCCGAGAACTCTGGGAAAATATAAGTAGAGATACAAAGTTCTCGAACCTTGGAACCTTGGAATCATTCAAGTGTAATATGTTGTTATCCTTGATTAAGGATGCATACTTAAAGTTTCGTTTGAGCGTACCTTAATTTAGGGTAAGAATTCGTCTGCTACATTTTAGAGGAAGGATGCTACTACATTTTTGCTCTGTAGGCCGGACCAAGTGTGTGGGACGACAAGAACATCCGCAGGGACATTAGGGAAATATATGCAACGCTATTGAATACACCCACACATCAACAAGGGATACTATTTTTCATACAGACATTCCTGACATGTGTAGTAATTTTGCATATTGAGCATTTTCAAAAAAATCAAAAATAAAATGGGTAAAACCCAATTAGATCACCGTCACATGCTGCTAATTACTCTTCTTTTCTTCTTCTTTTCGTTGGTTTCGTGATTAGCATCTGGATTCTAGCAAATTCAGTCGGTGAGTTTTGATGAAGGCAACATTATTTGATAAGAAGAAGTGGATACCCCTCTTTACTAAAAATAAAATAAAATCAAATAGAAGTAGATAGGATTATGAGCACATGGGAGTTTTCTGATTTCAACAACTTTATCTTTAACAAATTAAGTCAGAGGTACAATTCAAGTTTACCTTAGCACCGTTACTTACAAATTGAAATTTAATGATTTGTGTAGGAAAATTTTAGGAGGAAATTTAATAGGGAATGTGTCACGCCCCGGCTATTTTTGGATTTTTAATTATTTTTGGGGTTGATCTTATATGCAGTTGACCGACATCGTTTAGTCCCGAAGATTACCGTAGTTAAGTTACCTACATTATTTACTTCTTTCCTGAATTACTAGCTGTAATCTTTGGTTGTAATCCTTAGGAAGCTACATGGAATTTTCCTCAATCCTCGTATGCACTTATAATCTCGTTGAGGCTGTAAATGATTTCTTATCGAATGAATGAATCAATGAAAATCTCTTCGCCTTGATTCTTCCTTCCCGTTATTTCCTAAATTTTTCTGTTCTTATAATTTCTTCTTAAATTCTACCCCATTCTTCCCTAAATTCCTTCTTAACTCTGAATCTGAAATCTAATTTCTGAATTTTAAATCCCATATCGTGACAGAATGAATATAACGTTTATACCTTATATTTATGGACCTCATTCCTTATATATATATATATATATATATATATATATATATATTTTGTTAAATTTGTCACAATATATATATATATATTGTTAAATTTGTCACAATATATATATATATATTGTCACAATATATATATATAATATTGTTAAATTTTCCATGCATTTAACCCCATTTTTGAAAAAGATAATGATTAGTGCAAGGAAAAAATGACAAAGAAAAGTGACAAAAAATTGATCATAATCATACATTCTTAAAACTTTCTTTTTAGGCTTTAAACATTTGAGGTTAGAGCATAATTTTGATGAATGACACATCATTCCTTATAAGTTTTTCTTGTAATTTTTCATTGTACTTATCACTACTCTTTTGAAAAATATATAACTATTGCTTTTGTCATTAACATGAAATACTACAATCCACCAAAAAAAAAAAAAAGAAAAATGTTTTTGACCTGAAATCCCATATATATTAATATTGCCACCTTTACTTTTGGACAATCCATAAATTGAGAAAAATTTTGTTAAATATTGAGCAAACGCCTATGTTGCTCTCCTTTATTATTTTGATATATTGTCTTCCTTATTTTTTCTCCCTTTCTTTATGTTTGAGAAAAATATTTTTCTCACCAAACAAATTAATATTTAATAATGGCAGTACCAAGTCTAATATGTTTTGGGATTCATTAAATCAAATCGCTTTTAGAAGGGCTTGCCTTTTCGCTGCTACACAAGGCGAAGACGAGAGAGGGATTACTTCAAGCAACTACACAATCCTTCTCCTCACTTGAACTTGATTGACGGCTCAAACCAATCCTTCATTTGTTGTCACTTTGCACAAAACAAACTTTATTTTCCAGCACAAAGAAGGCCGCAAACTTCTAAAGCATCAAATAAGCACATTATAGTAAACCAAAAAAAAAAAAAAAAATCCTGATTAAGTTTCGTCTAAATGGATGGACAGCAAAATGAAAAAGGAGCCGAAGTCATCAATAAAAGGCCTCAAAGGGAAACAGAGACAAATGGATGATAGTTCAGCTTGGTTTGAGTTGGATTACAGTGGATAGAACTTTTTGGACAATCTGGCCAACCATTGTGATTTGTGATATTCAAAAAGAATTGGGCTAGAAATTCTTTGAAGGCTAAAAATTAAAATGACCTCACAGATTCCATTTGGTTGTATATTGGGTTGGACACATAAGAGAAGAATAGCCCAGAGCAGCCCCGCAAGGAAAGAAATGGACTTCAAATAATATTAATCCATGCAAATCTCTCCACACACTTTCTTCGGCTTCAAATCTTACGTTGTTGTGTAATAACTTGTGTTGTACACGAGATCTCATGTTCGAATCTCTCCCCTAATTTTTCTCCAATGATAAAATTAGGTACAAACGTATTGTAGATTCGTAGTGTCGAGCCGAAGCCAGCCCTTTCCTCGGATGTCATAATTTTAGAAGCAAAAAAAAAAAAAAAAAAAAAAATCAATTTTCAGTGGCTTGTTGATTGAGGTGCAATTTGGAGTTTTCTCAAAAGGTTTAAATCGTCTTGGTCAGGGAATTAAGGTGTATTTTAATGGAACTTTCGCTTTTCGTTTTTTGTTTCCTGTGTTTTGTCCACCTGTTCTCATAAAAACATTGGAAGAAATGCTGAATAAAGTGAAAGCATAAGTACTAGAAAAAGGTCTAATCCGGAATCATGACTAAACTACTGTAAAGCAAGCTCCCATGTTCTTTTTTTTTTTTTAAACATTTTTCTGCAACAATCTTCTTCTCCACTCCTTCATGTGCTCACTAATTAAATTCTCTACTTTACACTGCTTAGTGCTTACCCTACTAAACCAATCTTTTGCTGCTATTTATTTTATCATTTTTGGGACATTTGTCTAGCTATTTTTGAGACGAATAATCACTGACGAATGCAATGACATGACCCCTAAAATGAAAAGTTACAATAGACAACTAAGCCTAAGATTTAGTGGTAAGAATATGAGCTGGTGAAACTTGTACTAATACTTAACAACCATTAGCTAAAGTTAAAAAGTGCCAACATTACATTGTCCTGAATTTGGAGGGATTTGAAAAATCTCAATAGTATTAGGTAAGATCTGTTTAGTCTCACTTACTTTCTTGAAAATTTTCATTAGTCCCCTTTATTTGGGTGAGTTCCTTTTGAATGATCTTCATTCTTAATTAATTTAGATACAAAATTTAGAGCAATCAAAGCATATTCTTCATTCTCTCATGCATGCGCGCTTGTATTCGAAATGAATATATAACTGAATGGGCTATGGGGGCATCAATGATCAAAAACACTTCTATGCAAAAACCAGCACCAATGCATGATCCATGATCACATGAGCAATGAACTTGTCTACCATATATCTATTGATCAAACAAATAAAAGGAACATCTCTTCGTTGGCCTTTTGTTTGCAGTTCAACTTTAGTTAAATTTCTCTCTCTTGTTAGAATGTAGGATTGCGAAATTTAACAATTCACTAACCTTATATCTGACTCAATCAAATTAATCAAGATTTCTACGGGTATCTATTGATCCGGCATCATTATTAATTCCACCGGGAATTATTGGAACAAAGAAAACGCACTTGATCTAGTCAATAATGATCAAAGCCAGCCTTTGTTCAGATTTCTGAACAAGGGACCAAATGTGGTAATGAGAAGAGACATAACACCACTTGTAAAAGTCTTGTTCAACTCTGTGTTATTTATTTGTCTTTTAAGACAAACATAGTACACATCAAGCAAGAATCACAAAAGAGAAAACTCCACACTCTAGGTGGGGTTTTACTTTAAAAATAGCCCTTGTTTCCATTGATCCATTTCCACAGAATCAAATCAAAGAACCCTTCTTGTAGGAGAAAAAAAACCACCAATAATCCCATATGCCTTCCTTTTGATCCAATCAAAATGACCATAATATATATATGAAAAAAAAATCCCACAAAGTCACAAGCTTCTTCTTTCTTTGGCTTTTTATCCGTTAGATGCTCAGTATTTTCAGTAATCTTCGTTGTCTTCATGTCCTTTACCTGAATTGCAATTTTTCCTGTCTCGTATCTAACGCCATTTTTAACTCATTTGATCATTTCCACCACACTCAACCGAATCTGTAATGTAGAGGACAAAAAAACAAAAAAAAAAAAACGCACACACACATCAACATTGTCTCTATTCCCCAGTTGCTCTGTTTCCCCTGTTACCCAAACCAAAGCACTGCCATTTTTTATATATGGCAGCTACTACTACCCAGCTGAAATTCCAAACCCAACCCATTAAACCCAAACGCCGACGTTACCGGGAAACCACCATAACCACCACCGCCGCCGCCGCCTTCGCCGCCGCCACGTCAGACAAGTCTTTCAGCTCGGGCTCAAGTTCAACGGATAAGAATAGCTATCAAAGTCGCAAACTTGAAACTCCCATTGTCATCTACTCTGATGATAATTCTTGGTGCTGCCCCACCGCCGCTAAGCCCCCTCTGCCACCACCTTCACCGCCGGGGCTCGGTTCTTCACTTCCAAACTCCTCACCTTCAAGCCTCAAAATCCGTTCCTCAGCCAATCACTTGATGGATAACCACGGTGGCGCCGCCGCCGCCTCCCACGACGCATTTCCGTCGTCTTTCAGTAAATTCAATTCAGCGCTCACCGCCGGACTTCTCAACCCAATGTCGCCGCCGCCGGCAATGGATAAAATCCGTTCAAGCCCGACCTTGTTTGAAATGATGTCCAGCGAACCCGATTCCATTCTTAGAGCTACTCCGATGATGGAACAGCAGATCCCCAACGGCGCAACGGCCACCCCGAATCAGAAACCTCTTGATAAACAAGCCGTAATGCAAAAGCGATTAACGGATCTTTTATCTTGTCGGAGTCCGGGAAACCAATTTAACGACTCGACTTCTGGTGATGTGAAGCTGACTTTGAGCTCAAAAGATGGATTTAGCGTCTCGATGAGCGTTCATAGGCAGATACTTGTAGTTCATAGTAGGTTTTTTGCGGAGAAATTGTGCGAGAAATGGGTGAAACAGTCGACGAATGTGGGCCCTTACGTGGTGGAGATTGCTGACTGTGATGATATTGAGGTTTATATTGAGACTTTGAAGTTGATGTACTGTAAGGATTTGAAGAGGAGACTTATGAAGGAGGAAGTTTCCCGAGTCCTTGGAATCTTAAAGGTAGCGTTTTTATCATCTTTTTATTCTTAGTTAGTTGGTGTGTTTTAAATTTTTATGTTTGATTGATTTGGTTTTCTGTTGTTTTTACGTGGGTCTAGGACTAAAAGAGCTGAGAATGATGTTAGTCACTTTATATATCACCTTCATAGTTTCTTCAGGTAGATATTCTTTGGAAAGTGGAATATGAACTCTGTAGCCTGTCTCCAATAGTTGTTATGGTGCAATACTGCTGATTATGCTTAATTTTGGATAAGGTACAACAGTTCATGTAGTCATTTACGATTTTGAATTTGTATATGCTGTTATTGACCCAATAGATTAGATTTTTTTTTTTTTTTCTGGAGATTATCTATCCATTGATTGCTAGTTATTTCTGTAGGTTTCTGCTGCAATTGGATTCGATGCTGGTGTGTTATCTTGTTTAGAGTTCTTAGAGGCTGCTCCATGGGCCGAGGATGAAGAGGAGAAGGTGGCTGCATTGTTATCCGAACTGCATCTTGAAGGCGTTGGAGCAAGGGAAGTTTTAAAGAGGGTTTCTCTTGATGTCACCGGAGGTATGGAAGAGAAGAAAGATAATGAAGAGGTGCTTCTTAAGTTGATACAGGTAGTTCTTCAAGGTAAAGATGAGAAGGCTAGGCGTGAGATGAAAGGCTTAGTGTTAAAGATGTTGCGTGAGAATTCGGGGCAGAGTGATTTGAGGAAGGAGTCTCTATACTCAGCTTGTGAAGAATGTTTGCAGTCTCTACGCGAATGCTGCCTAAAGGTAGTGGAAGCGGATGGCAAGGATGTGTCGCAGATTGCACGTCAGGCTGATAATTTGCATTGGCTTTTGGATATTTTGATTGACAGACAAATTGCTGAAGATTTTCTCAAGGCTTGGGCATCTGAATCTGAGTTAGCTCAATCACATTCCAAGATTCCTGCTATCCATCGCTTCGAGATAAGCAGGGTTACTGCTAGGCTGTTTGTTGGGATTGGGAAAGGCCAACTACTTGCTTCCAAGGATGCGAGATGCTTACTATTGAGAACTTGGTTAGTTCCATTTTATGATGATTTTGGGTGGATGAGAAGAGCATCTAAAGGGCTGGACCGACATTTAATTGAAGAAGGTCTTTGCAATACTATTTTAACTCTGCCTCTAACTTGGCAGCAGGAAATTTTTATGTCTTGGTTCGATCGCTTCCTGAATTCTGGGGAAGATTGTCCAAATATCCAACGAGGTTTTGAAGTTTGGTGGAGGAGAGCGTTTTGGAAGCGAAATGGTGAGCCTGAGCGGCCTCACCAAATGCGTATTGTGAATGCCACAATTGAGAATTCCTAAAATCTTATTTTGTGATTTGAGGCAAGGGTAAGGCTTACTTAATCTGAGTTATAGTTGCCTGTTGTATTCATGGCTAGTTCTCCAGCCTCCATTGCCGATTCTTGTCGCAATATTTTCCATCTCTTGAGTGAGAGTATAGCATTTAGTTCGTCGCCATTTATACCGATGTCTGTACATGCATTTGATCGATATGGGGAGGACACTGCGGGTGAAATATACATTTTGTGAATATTGTTTCCTATGGGATCAGAGAGATTTGGTCAAATTAGTTTTCACTGCTTCAACAGCGTTTACTCAACATTAAACAAGATTCTTTGTCCTTCTTCTTTATTCCAGCACATTAGCTGCACAGATTCTGCTAGTAGCGGGAGCTGTCAAAATGCATCTTTCCTCCCAAATAGTTTCAGATGCTTCTAGCATAACCTGACAAAATGAGATCAACAAGCTTTTTATGAAGGATCTAATGCATTGTTTTTAAGGGTACAAGTAATGGAAATTTTTCGGATGCTACAAAACTGTTATCTTTGCACTTCAATTGTCTTTCTAAAGAAAGTATCAGTATCCTAATATCCTTGTGCATAATTTCCAACATTTTCTCTAACCCTGATCAATTCCTCGATGGTCAAATGCTTTAGGCCAAATTCCGCAACGTTTCGATTCTTCTCCTGTAAAGCAACATATAAAAATAAACTTTCCAATCCTCTGCTCAATACGAGGTTCTCTCAAGAGCGTACTAAAGCATTTCTGTTCAATTGAGGTTTATAAACACGGTACAGCATTAATATTTCTGCATCATCTCAACACCTGATGCCTGCTGATATGGTGAAGATTATATATATATATATATATTATAAACTGGGGAAGCCGAAACTTGGATACTTACGAAAGCAACTCTCTAAGTAAGAGTTGAGCTGATTGGATGAAGATGCCCTTTCTATTTTCAATTATAAGGTTGGTAGGAATATGTGTTGGTGGGCCGTTTGTGTAGCGGGCTTTTGGTGGACCCAATTAAGACTATAAATATTTGATGGCCTGTTTTGCCTTCTAATGGATATGAGGTGAAGCCCAGTTGGTGTGAGTAGATTATACTGACCCAGTGAATGTGACGCACTACTCTAGAATGTGGGGTTTCTTTTCATAAGACTTGCGCACATGTAACACATTTCTACTTCAAACGTACACAAAGGAATTAAATTAAGTTTTGCCAATTTTCTTGGCTGGACCACCACCCTTGTTGCCATTGTTGGCCCAATCTAATCAAAAACCATTTTGAATTTTAATTCATTATTGCTTTTTTCTTTTTAGTTTTTTTCATAGCACGTGTATACAATCGGTGACTAATCTTCGTTAAGTTATAAGTACATTGATGAAAGAATTTTTTCCACTCTACCACAACGCTTTGGTTCAATTCATTATTGTTTTGTTTGGTATTTCAACTGTATAAAATAAGTTGGTTGAATTTTCTGTAATATTTTTGTAAAACATACTTATTAGAATTATAATTTCTCAATTATGCTAAGTTCTTAGACCTGATCTATTATTGATGGATGAAAACCCAGCAAAAATCAGTATTATATATATATATATATATATATCTAAATAAATATGGTTTCATGTGAAAGCATTGCAAAACCTTTGCTGCAGTCTGCTTTGCTGATCATTTATCGTCATCGTGGCGCTATTTATAACATTCAAACCTAATATTTCTAGAAAGGAAAAAAACAATTAATTTTAGTTTGATGACGGGTTATATATTTCAACATGTGATTTGGCACATTTTGAGTGGGAGAAACACAACAGCAACATTCCCAGTACGTTTGAAATGGATACACTAATTACTACTAAGATAGGTACGTACCCAAAATTTCCTTATGGTAATATATACACCAGTCTAGGACTACTGTGTTGTTACATGTGGTTTTGTAGGGCAAACATTATTTTTGTTATCGGCTTCAAGTGTTTTTTTTTTTCGTTTCTTCCAGTTGGAAAAGATCAACAAATAAAACAAAGGAAAAGGAAAAAAAGAAGGGGGTATAAAGGTGATGTTACGGCAGAATTTTATCATCTCAAATTCTCACATGAACATTAAAATTTGCACTAACAAACAACAAAAGTGCCGGTGGCCGCCGCACAAATTAATCAAAGAATATTATTTCATTCTATTCATACGGCTGAACTCTTAAAAAAGGCCATCCCCGAAATGGTAAAGTAAAGAAATTCAATGTCAAGCACTTAAAAAGTTTGACATTCATGCATGATTTACTTATCTGGATTGTCCATGCATGCTACAAAATTGCATATTTGAAAAGGAAAATGAAATATTTTTAATGGAAGCATCAATCTAGGTTAACCATTTCCCGTAGAAATTTCCTGGCATTACCAAAGAAAACTTAAAAATTCTAATGTGCTTCTCGAATAACAACACAATTTAACTAAAATATGTAACATTTAACATATGCTCCGTACGTACGTAACGACATTCAAGGTCACAAAATTTGTTTCAAATTTAATCAGATATAAGTTTTGTGGGTTCTACATTGTTCCTCTATGAACTTTTCATAGTTGATGTATATATGCATCTGCTTCCGGCACAACTTGATATGTACGTGTTATTGATTTCGATCACGTGCTTTCGTTACTTCGAGACTTAATAAGTGAAATAAATTTCTTAAATCGATTTTTTTTTTTTACAACAAAATGAAATATCAAAGCTTAAAGATGCATTTGTTTTGTCACCAGGAAACGGATTAGGAAACAGATTCGAATGACTTGACGATTCCCCGGTGTGATTCTCGTTCAATTTTGATGACTTGGATTTTTTTTTGGGTTGTTCTCTGTAAATTTACTGAGAAGAGGTGTGAGGAGGGAGGAAGGAAGGAGGATAGAGGAGGGAGAACCGAGGAGAGAGGAAAGAGAAATAAAACATTTTAAAAAAATAGAAAAGGATTCAAAAAATGATTAAGTCGAATTATGGGGGAGGGATAGGATTGGATCTATCGGATTCGACCATTCCCAGGATTCACGAATCCAATCAACCAAATATTTCAATGAATTTCGAATTCGAATCCGATTCCCGTGAAACAAACGGCTCCTAAATTGCCACTTGATAATTTATGTATAGAAGAAGAAGAAGAAAGAAGTAGTAGTACAAGAGAGTATAAAATCTTAAATGATAAATTAAGACTTTGCATTTAATTGCCATTGACAATCACAATGACCAAATCTGCGAATAATTTTCAAAACTTCCGGACAAAACCCATAGATCTATCTGAAACGTTAATTAATATACATCAATCAAAGTTAAAAGAAGCTGAGCTGGGTTTACCAACATTAATTGGGTCCAAATAATAAATCATTGTTTGACTTAGTCTACAAATTAATTTATTAACCTTTTTGTTCATGTCAGCAAGGCAAGTTAGGCTAGTATATACTACTATGAAATTATCATGAATAAATTAAAGAAAATGACGTAGACATTAGTAAAATAATAGAGGGTTGATATACCCTACAAAAGTTTGGCAGTAAATGGTACTGTGCGATCGATAGATAATATTGATTGAGCCATTTGCATATGGATCTGATAATTTCCGGCAGAGAGGTTTGGTAGTTGTATTTTTTGAAACATTCTCCTGCAATTCCAACCCCAATGTTCCTGAAGTAAGCATGCCTACATCCTAGAATTAAACAAATATGTATATGCAGTTGTTGTCGTCCAATCTTGCCCTAGATTCAACGTTCTCTATATTTTTTTAGAATATTTTATCTCAAACAGGTTTACATAAGTTTGAGAAATGAACATATATGATCTCGTCAAAGTGTTATTAAGTTTCAACTCGCGATTGGCCAAGTGAACGCGTTCACTATGTTTTATATGTTCATCTTAAAGATTGAGAATCATCTAGCTAGTTAGTACTCTTTCCGTCTTAAAATTATTGTCCAGTTTGAATTTTTATTTTTAGTTTAACCATTCTAATATTAAAAATGAAAATTTAAACTGCATAATAATTTTGGGACGGAAAGAGTATGTGTTTTATATATTCCTCTTAAATTTTGAAAGTATTGCTCGTCAGAGAACTAGTTAATATATCGGCTGTTTTTTATGAGTTTATCTTAATTGTTGGGACTTTGTACCTAATAGATCTATACTGATCATTAAAATGCAATATCGTCCCTCCTTAATCCTCTAAGCTCAATCAATTTTTCTGTTTAATTTTTTTCTTCTACTTCCACAAGTTACATAAAAGTCAAATGGGATTTATGCACAACTGTGCTCGATTACAATTAAATTGCAATAAACAATTTCTGAACAAGATGTTTTTTTTTTTATTTATTTATTTAAATCCTTGTGTATTTGGACTCGTAAAAGACAGGATAAGGTGAAACCTGGTATGCATAATCACGTCTGAGTAATTTTGTAGTTTTTCTTTTAATTATATATAAATATTTGAATACAGTCGTTACACTAAGTCAACTAGACAATTTGAAATATACAACTTGTACAAAAGTTAAGTTCGCCAATTACATTAACACATAGAAATCTTGTTTAAAAAGTAAAAACAACTACTTGGAATATTTTGGGATGGAAGAATTAGTAAGACTAACAACAATAGAGCATGAAACATTTTATCTCATGACTTGAGAATGCATACTCTTTTTAATCAGAAAAGAAAATCTAAATTAAACAATTATTTTGGGAGTATATGGTACAACTAATCTGTTGTATTAGGATATGCAAAGTATTGAAATTATACAAAAGTTTTAAATTGAAATAAAAAATGGTTAGTTCTCATTAATATGTATTATTAAAAGTAGAAAAAAATAAGAGCGAGATTAAAAAAAACTTATATTTAATGATGCATTAAAAATAAATAAAGTGCAATAAATAAATAAAAAATTGAATTCACACTAATACCACAGATAAAAAGAAATGGAGTAGGATCTGTCTAGTGTGAAAAGTGGAAGGAGATGAAGGGCGGTAGCTTGTTTTACTCATCAAGTTAATACTACTGCACTTGTATGGGATTTGTGTCCAACTTAAAATATTCAAATCAGATACGTTAAAATGCTTCTAATTTAAACCTAATCAATCGATAGCGTAATCCTGTACTATAAAATTTATAATTGGACTCCTCAAAGATTCATTAATTTAACTATTTAAGTAAAGAAAGTGGGAGATTATTCTAATTACGATTGAGCTTGTCTGCATGCAGGAAAAGTTCTCTCATCATCATCAAAAGATTTTCCAATAAAACTCTAATTTAATTTGTTAGCGCCAAATCGTACATAATTATTTTATTAAGCATTCGTGCGACGGAAGATTAACTACAAATGTTTAATTAATATCGAATTAATTGATTAGTAGAGAGAGTATAATAATGATTGGATAGATACTAGCTAGTGCACGTCCAAGCTAGCCTTTTTTTCTTGCTTTCCTTTTTCTTTGGGAACAAAAATTAAACAATCTACGT